AGTACCGTTTATAGGCAAGGTGTCTTCAGTCCAGAGAAGCATAGATGGGTGGCCTTATCCTGAGTAGAGTCAAACATTACTTTCATTGTAAGCCAATAGTATTTCAAATAGTGTCAAATGACCTAATTTTGAATGAATTAAGGGGTGATTTTCCTGAAAAAAACCCTAGCTGATTGGCTGGGAATACTGTCACTCATTCTTTTGCATAGAAACTTGGTTCATTTCACTGCAGAAGAAGAAATTAGAGCTTACTTTTAGGAAGCAGTTGTTTGCTAGCCTGTTCTGATCTGTTACTGCTGAGACACCATGAGGAAAGCAAGAATGTGGCAGAAATTTTACTACAACTATTTGAAGAGCAATAGCCACGACCAGGGAAACTCCATGATTGAAAATGCCAGCCTAAGTGTTTTAAGCTTCACCACAAAAGAAGCGATTGTTTATTTTATTTTTCTTTTAAAAGTGACAGCTCAGCCTCCAACATGTTTTTCTTTGTTAAACAACGTGGCCATTTTTTGGAGTGTGCTGGCTGTAGCATTTTTCATTGGAAAGCTAGAAAAGTGTGTGGAAGCGTAAAAATCAAGCGTTAGGTGAAGGGAGGCATGAGCCCTGGTAAGTACACATTTTTTGGAATTTGATTTACTAGAAAAAAGTTTTTCTATCCAAAATACCTGTGCTTTCAATCTTTCTAAATCTCAATATACATCAAGTGATAATTATACAGAGAAGTGTAAGAACTCTTGTCTTTTAAATTGTTACTGTGACTTTCGTGAGACTGCACTGGTGTACCTTGAATTGTATATAGGCCTTGCTGTGAAAACAATATGGATGTTTTTTTAGAGCTTTAGAAGAGAAAGCAATTCTTTGTACTTTATTGAACGTTGAGGAAGCTCAATTTCTAAAGTCATGAAGCAGAATTGCTTTTGTGGTTAATTATATATTTTCTGTCAGATCTATGTGAGTAGTTAGTGCCCTTGATAAGTGCCTTCCAGTGGCAGTAGGGCAGGGTCCTTGAACAATGGTTGTAGAAAACATTCTTAGGAAAATTAAAATATTTAAAAATATAGAAACAGCATTGCTAGTGTTTTGTATCTCAAAAAAAAAAGTCTCGAACACACACACACACACACACACACACACACACACACACACAAGCTTTTTGCCTGAAGCCTTTGCTTTTCCCGAGAACATCTGTCAAGCAGGTCCATTCGAGACTTGTTTGGCTTTGCCTGAGTGATTTGTTTGTTAAAGTATGTGCTGAAGGGCTTTCTTGTTAGTTCTTTCTTTTTTTTAAAGCAGTCATTAATGTTCCCCTATGTTTTTGCAGGGTTGGATTGTTTGGGCATGTTGGGATTTTAATTTATTTAATAAGGAATGCAATTATCTGCATCCATGTTTTTTCAGTCACTGTAACTACTTGCCCAAATATCTTAGAGTAAAAGTAAATTATACAATTTTGCCACAGGTATATGTGCCAGATGCTTTTAAAATATTCAGCAACTTAACATATGGAAAGCTTATTTCCCTTACTAATTAATTGGCATAATAAAAATTAGCCTTGACATGAATTTGTAGAATATGTATTTGTGCCTCCTATAGCATCTTGTCCCCTTCTCAGGAGTTGGGCACAAAGACTATATTCTTTGTTTTATCTATCAGTCTTTAGCTAAACATGTGACTGTCTAGTTTAACAGAGTTGAAAACTATCACAAAAGTAAATTTAACTACTTGAGTTCAATGAAAACAATGCTTTATCTTCAGCAAAGCCAGTAAATGATGAGTTGCCTTTTTTTAATGAAGAGCTAAAATAAACATAAATATATAAGCTTTGAATTTTAAATTGCTTAAAATGTGTAATATTTGCTCTCAATAACTGGAATTTTTAATAACGGGGTTAGTGCAACTTGGTAACAATAAGAAGAAAAATCAAATTTTTTTAATTAAAAGCTATATTATTTACTCCATTCTTATTATTCACTGAGAGTTGATACATGTATACAAGGAACTTTCAAAATAAACAAAATCCAAAGCATTTGTTTTTGTTTTCATAGCTGCTGTGGATTTGAAAGCTATGAGAATTAGCTGAGAGTAAATTACATCACTCAGTCATACTTTAACAAAAATCACAAGTCGGTACACAACTTGCAAACATTTAGTAAACTCTTGAAGTTATTATCAAAGCTTAATTATCTTAAGCATTGGGAATTTGGCAGAACCTTAAAATTTGTAAATACTTGTTTAATTTATAAATGCATACACACATTTTAATTACGATTTTTACTGAAACTGAAGTTTCTTCAAACAAGATGTAATGATTACTAATATAATCATTAGTATTTTGTTGTCTTTTTTTTAAAAATAAAAGTAATTTCACTGTGAAAGTTAAATAAGGAGAATGCTGTCCGATATCACTTACTTAGAATGATCTGATTATAGTGTCTAGATCAGGGGATTTCACACTTGACCATTAAGATTTTTTTGCTTGGAAGCACTTTTTTTCCTCATCTAAAATGAGCTCATAGGTATTGTAGCCATCCTCAGTTTACATGAAGAAAATTGATTTTTATTTTTTTAATAGAAATATTTAAAATATTAAATGAGGGTATTTATGTTTGCGATTTTCTGTCTTTTATTGGAATCAAATTTGAATATTGCATGTTAAGTTTTCTTAATATTGCTGTTTGCCCATAATTTTTCTGCATAACAGCAGTAAAGTAGGTTCTCTTTGTGAGTAACCATATCATTAAATCAGGTAGACTTTGGAAATAAAGGACCAGGAATGCTTTTAGTTTTAAAATCTAGGTTCCTAGTATGGTAATATTGCAATGTTTAATGAAAATTCCGTGATAACCTCAGTTCTACAACCACTTACTGATTTTTAACCCCCTAGACTTTTAGAAAGTAAGGTAGGAGATAGTATGTAGAGGCTTTAAAAAGTCTCTGGGAAAATGGAATTAAAAGGTAGTGGGGTATTTCAGTGAACTTTTTAAGGGTCACTCATATGTCCATGTTAATCTTATTACATTGCACCTGTGCACTTTAATCAAAATAGTAGTGTGTTTATACAGAGGCATGCAAGATTTGTGAATAACTCAATGTATGAATATCCTTTTTCATTGATTTGCTTTTGATTTATTGCAACCCTATAGCGTTTCTGAGGCTGTAAACTTCTTAAGGGAACTTGTGGGTTTGAACTACCAGCTTGCTGTTAGCAATTTGCTTGCCGACAGCACCACCAGGGCTCCTAATTTATGACTACCTCAACCTAAAAGCTTTTGTTATGTATCTACTTCCTTAATATTTATATCAGTTTTGCCTGTGAAAGAATTAATCATTGCTGTCAGGTCTATGCCAACTAATAACTCGCTGCCAACCAGTCAGTTCTAACTCATAGCAACCCTATAAAGACAAAGTAAAACCGCTTCTGTGGATTTCTGAGACTGTAACTGTCTATAGGCGTGGAAAGCCCTGTCTTTGCCCCACTGCCAACTAATAGTGATTTTCATGGCCTCTGGCTTAATCTGTGTATACTTTGCAGACTGCTGCCGGCTGTGTAAGGAGGCCTGGTAGTACAGTGGTTAAGCATTTGGTGACTAACCGGAGGCAAGTGGTTTGGACCCACCAGTGGTTTGAGGGAGAAAGCTTGGACAATCTGCTTCTATCAAGATTACCCCGTGGGCAGCCCTGTGGAATGGTTCTCTTGTGCTGTATGGCCACTTGAAGTGGGAGTCAACTCATTGGGACACAGTCACAAGCCAGGCATTTATAGCAGTAAAGAAGACCGGAGCGCTCATCTCTCAAGAATCATGTTAGATGCAGAGTATGTCATTTGAAGATATAATTGGCTCTTTAAAAATTTCTCCCAAAATTTAAAACTGAACTGCCAGCGAGTTGATTTTGAACATAGTGACCCTATAGGACCGATAGAACTACCGTGGCAGTTTTCTGGAACTAAACTTTTATAGGAGTAGAAAATCTTGTCTTTCTCCTGAAAATAAATACACCCCCCCCAATCCTAGATACATTTAAAAATATATATTTGCATAGTAAGAGTGACACAGTGTGGCAAAAGAGAGGTACTTCAATTGCTATTTTTAAAAGTAGAGAAACACTATAGTTTCTAATTAAAGAGATAGTAATCAATGCCATATTGAAGGTCTTCTTTTTTTTCACATTATTCAACATAGGAGTTGCTTTTCTTTCTTTTCTTGCCCCGTCCCTCAATAGCTTTATTTTGATTTTAAATT